AAAAGTAATAATTCTTAAAGTAGCTATAGAGTTAATATACTAGTAAAAACACTGTACAGTGTATATTTTCATTTAATATTTTATTAAAGACAAACGTGTGTATCAAATTAAAAACACACGTGGGGGTGGATTGTATAATAATATTATATTGAACACATACAACAAAATATTTTAAACATCAAGTAATGACAAATTTATCCTAAAATAAATATAATTGTAAACATATAATATTAAAAAATATACATTTTTACAGAATCCAGAGCTGAATAGTAAACACATGATGCTTTTATAAATTCTTAAAATTTTATTTGTTATTATTAGCCCTAAACGTGTGTGTAATCCAAGTTCGTCAATAATTGCTTTTTAAGTTTCAACTTGTGGTAGGATTTTCCCTCTTTCTATATATATATATATATATATATATATGTATATATATATTTTTTAAGCTAGAGGGGTTCATGATCTCGTGTAATATTTAAAAAATACCTACATTGGTTCTACTTATTTTAAGAAATTCAAATATCTATCCTTCATCAGTTCTGATGCATTGCTCCAAATAATCATTTAAACATTTATGATACAACTCTGTTAGTATAATTTAGATAAATATATTCATGCACCATGCCAAAAACAATTTTCATTAACAAAACTTCAAATTTCTTATCTGCAAGCTTCCAAATTTGTACATGTAATCTCAAGCAAAGAATTTTTCTATATTATGCTACAAAATATTTAATTATGCAAAAAAAAAAAAAAAAAAAAAAAAACAACAAAACAAAACAAAACAAAAACAAAACAAAAACAAAACAAATATTTACATACATGGACATCAAGAAGGTTGTGGGGGGTTGCGAAAGGCCACCAAGAATGAACTTGTAGACTGGACAACTAATAAAAAGATGAATTTCTGAAATGGTTATCCGATCAACTTAAAAATATGAACAAATTCAAAAATTTCTAACATGTTTTCAATAACAACAAAAGAGTGACAGGTGCAATCTACAGGAGGGTGGAAGAGCGAAACGTAAGTTATCAAAAAGTTATTAAAGGAAGAGTTGCAAAATCAATGCACATGCAGTAAATGGTTGCCATAGCGATTAGAACTTATGACCCTAAAAGTCTAAAGAATATATTTAACTAGTAGAGTAAGTTAGCATTGCATATAACATTGTAGAGACAACAAAAAGATGTTTAATTAGACAATTTGCTTTGCATTTTGCCCACTATCTGCTATTGTCCCTGGATAGTGTGTAGGCAACATGAAGAGGATTGCATAGATTGTAACCCACTAATGATAATAATATATAGGGCTTAGTTTGAAAATAGTTTTTGTAGAATCTGTTACAAAGACCAAAATATCAACTAATAGGATTGCAAAGAAGAATCTTGTAAATGACATGTAGTAAAAGAATGATATTTGTTTGATTTTAACTCAATTTTCTTTTAACACTTTGCATATATATTTCAAACAATAACTTAAATAGATAATAATAATAAAAAAAACTATGTAGCTTATTTGAGATATATATATATATATATATATATATATATATACATATACACACACATATACTCTAATTAATGTAATATTATTTTAAAATTAATATTGAAATTTAACACATTGAATATTAATCAATGTTTTTAGATCCATTATTTTAAAGCACCTAAATTTTTTTTAAAAGTACAAAGACCCTAAAATGTAAAAATATATTATAATTATCCTTATAAATTAATTTAAGATTAAATTCTTTATTACTTTTGTATCATATTCTGGAATGTGGTGTTCAATAGTATTGACAAAAACGTTTTTATGTAATATATATATATATATATATATATATATATAACTTTTTTGTAAGACATTGTATAATAATGGTGACTGAAAATTTTACTTTTTAAAAAAATGGTTCCTTCTAATAAAATTGTGATGAACTAAGAAATTAACAAATCTTTTGAAAGAAAGTAAGATATATGTAGTTATATTTTATAGTCACATATATATATATATATATATATATATAGAGAGAGAGAGAGAGAGAGAGAGAGAGAGATAGAGAGAAATGTTAATGTGTGATATTTTTGAAAATGAGATTTATATATATATATATATAGAGTGACAAAGTGAAAGGTTGTAAGAAGATAAAACTGTGTCTGTAGCAGAAAAACTTGAAGAAGTGACATTTTAAAAAGTCCAATTAACATCTTTAAAATTTATTAACTGTTTTATTGTGAAAGATAAAATTATTTATTCTATTAATAGAATAATATCCCTTAATAAAAATAGGAATATGAAAAACAGAAACAACGAAATTTACACTTGTATCATAAAATAAAGATTAAAAAAAAAATCTTCGTAATTGTTTTTGAGTGAAATTCACATACTAGTTTTTGAATATACAATATATGAATTCTATGATTTTTGACCAGTAAAAAAATATTTTTACCATGAATTAATAAACTGGTCAGTTAAAATGGAAATAGAAAAAAGAAGAAGTAGAAGAAGTGATTCTTTGGATTAAGTTGTGACTTTTGTTGGATAAATGATTTTGTGGTTATTTTTCAATCGACTGAGAAGTCAACATTTAGCAATGATTTGAATATTACTCCATGCTGATATTTTAACAAATAAAAAACTAAAGTAAAGATGTACTCTGTACCAAATGTATGTATGTATATATATATATTGATGAATATAATTCTTTGAGTGGCATGCTAGAATGTTTTTGGTGTTAAACATCAATGTTGGGTAGAAACATATCTCTATGTAAATTTACACATTTTCTTGTGTTTCTCTAGTTTCAATATTTAAATTTTATAGATTAGAGTAATTACCTACAAAAAGTTTCTACAGAGTTAATAAAGATGTGTATCTTTAAATAATCATATATAAAATGAAGTGATCCAAATGGCCTTTATATTTTTGTTTCTAATATTGTAAATAACTAACCATCTTGAATACTTATATTGAAACTCTATTGTCATCAATGTTTCATTTTGCAATCACAGATTGTGTTTAAAAAGTTGACTTATTAGATATCCTTTGGGCAATTCAAACTCTTTTATAAAACAATGCAATTTTATTCAATAAACGTAAAATTTTGATGTTATTACCAAATATGTTTATGACATAAGTTTTGATGTGGCATAATGCATGTCTACATATACCTCACAACTTGCAATGCTAGACATAAGGTTGTTGCAATGCTGTCAATTCTTATTTTTATTGGAACATATTGAAAAAAGATTCAGCAAAAGAAATATTGTTATTCCAATTCTAATTATTGTTTTAAGTTGGAAATAAAAATTAATTTGGTATATGATAATTAGTTTTAGTTTATAAATGAATGTTGAGTGGATGCATTTGTTGCCAAATTCTAAGGACCATGATATATCAAGATTATAATATTCAACACGAGCATTTTTGAATCATAAGTCTGCTAGAAAGTTCTGGTAATATCAGAAGAGATTTAGTTAATTGGTGTGCATGGTGCCTATGCAGAGTGGCTATGGTGTCTGTAAGTACAAATTTTTATGCTGTTTCATTATATAGTTTGGTAAATGTGTTTTTATTGATAACCACTGATTTCCACAGGAAAAAAAAACTTTGTCCCTTTGGATGTGATGAATTAGCAGTGAAAGTTGAGATAGTTGTACAAAAATGGTTGAAATCAAAGCATCACATTGCCCAACTATTTGCTTGACAGCTTTGAGTGTAAGAGCATTCATGGTTACTTCTTTGCTTGTATGACATTGAAATCTACATTACATTGATCAAATAATGCTTGTTCATAATATATGGAAACTTGCACAAGATAATTTTAAAATCATGTACGACTATTTTTACAATCTTTTTCTTCAATTAAGTAAAACAACAATGTACTGTTTTTATTGCATTGATGATCTCAAGAGAAATACAAAGTAATAACTAAAACATTAAAATCTTTCCTTTTAGTGTGTGTGTCTGTATATATATATATATATATATATATGTGTGTGTTTATATATATATATATATATGTATGTATGTTTCTACCAAATCATAGAAACTCTTCTTATATTATTAAAATTGTAAAAGTATTTTTTTCTGTTAACATCTTGTATGTGTGTTGCTGTAAGTTCAAGCTTTGATAGTAATTACAATTATTAACTAAGATAATATTATGCATTCTTACACAATGTAATATCAAACAGAATCCTTACAATCATTTTTATGATTTACAATTATGTTGCTTCAAACTGAATTTGTTCTTTTGTATTTGTATCATGAAAAATTACCCAATTGATATATAACCAGTTATAAGACAGAAATTGACAGGATTGAAGTCTCATTGTTATCTATTCATATATGTACTTTTACAATGAATATACATAAAAAAGAAGTTTTGTTAACTTTTTATTATTGTACGTAACACCATGCAAACTACAAGAGAAAACCATGAGCAAGATTTTGTGCTTAATATTTTTGATTCTTTGTACTATAATTTTAAATATATCCACCATGACATGCTTTTTATTTATTTTCAAGAACTTGTCAACAATACCAAACACACGACCAAGTTCTTTTATGGCATGAGAACTAAAATCACCAAAAGTAACAGAATGAAGTGCATATATATATATATATATATATATATATCACCCATATGTTCCATATATTCCATAGTTTCCATAGAAATGTAGCATTCAGAATATTTGCACAAACAAACACACAAATGGACATTATGAGACATCAGTAATCTATTGATAACAGAAGGAAGTATTGTTCACCCATACTATATTCTTTCCACGGACTATATATTTACCAATTAGATTCAACGAAGACCACGGGCTTTGAGGATGAATGTGGAGCTTGAAGAATTCGATGAACGTGGCAGAAAACCTTCCAGAAAGAACAGGGGCAGACGTGGCACTCCAGCTAGACAGAAGCAGTTGCTGAGGTGGAATTGAGCTGGCAAGGAGTGGGTGACTGGATAGCAACCCCTTCTGAACCAGGGAAGTTGGCCAACCGATGCTCCTATACTCGCTCGCCGCTCGCGTTGTGTGGAGGGAGGCTCAATTTTTGTTTTGCGGCAGCGGAGAGTGTAATTCGACGCATCGTAGTCAGATCAGAGAGAAAGAAGTTAGGGGGAGCAATGGCGGATGAGCAAGGCGTTGCTGGGCGGCAGAGGCAAGTTCAATCGGAGATTTGTACCGTTTGAATGGGATCTAGTCTGTGCCTGCGGTTTGGCGTATATACACGTGCATATATATATATATATTTTTTTCTTTCTGAGCAGTCGATTGTGGTTGAGCTATAGTTTTCGTCTACAGGCGTGGATTTGGAGCACTCTTTCGGAGAATCTGATACAAGCGCTGGTTTAGGAAGATTTGCAATAACTTTTTGGGAAAGTTGCGTCGGCTTATGCTGGAATTATAATTTTAGGGTTTTAAAAGTGTTGATGACGGCTTTCCCGATGCCGAAATGGCAGCCTCTTTTTTAGATGATCATTAACGTGCTCTATTAGTTTCTTCGATGGTCTCCTTTCAAGGCCTTGTTGGATTACTGGTGCTAAATATTGGAATTAGGGTTTTTGGATTGGAACACTGATTGATTCCAATAGGTTTTCAGTAGCCTCTGAGAAGTTGTGAAATTGAGGTATTCATTACGACAGACTCTTGCAAGCCAAACCATGCTTCCGATGACGATTTCCCTTTCCAAGTCTAGGTGTTCGCAGTGATTGATGCATGGGAATGGATATCATAGTATCCCTAACGAGAGGTGATATTTCGGAGAATGCTGGTCCTTTGCTTCTGCAGCTTGCGAAGAATTAGGGTTTTGACAGCAATTTATGGAAAGGTCAATGTTGTGACTAATCGATGCAGTTGATCTCTCTTTTGTTTGATGAACGGGGATCTTCAGCTGTAGATGCAATTTTCGTACAATCTGTAGTCTTTTGATTCTTCTGGTTCTTTCTGGTCTTCATTTTTTTTTCTTTTTTTTCTTTTTTTTCTTCCTAACTTGGGTCGTAGAAGCTTGGAAAGTTGTCAGGCCATCGATGTTCTTTAGCCCCCTGTATCAAATGATTGAATGTTGGGATCGACTTAAACTTTAGAATCGACTAGTGCTGTAACGAGAACCATATTTGTTACTCATGTCCATACTGGCGTGAAAAACAAACTTCCTCCACAGTTTTTCTTTCAGAGACCTCAGATAGGTCAAATTCTGGGCTGCGTATAATTTGTAGTTGTGTTCAAGTCATGAAAAGCGTGATTGCGTCTTCTAGGATTAAGTGGTGTTTATCTCGGTTCTCTGTTGGATTTATAGCACTGAATCATACCATATTGATTACGGTGAAGTGACAGTACGCAATTGAGTATGTTTTTGAACGGAGGCATATTTATGCCGGAACATCGTTGGTGGTTTTTCAATAACACTTGAGTTGCCTGCTGTACAACTGCAGGAAGAAACGAAAGTGGGATCAACCTGCAGAGGATGTTGTTTCTGCAGCTGTGTCCTTGCCAATTCCTGGCATGATGCAGTTCGGAGGAGCCAACCCTTTGGCTGCTTTTGGGATGCCTAGCATGATGTCCATGATGGGTGGTTATATGGGAATGTCCATGGCACCTATGAATTTGTCTGCTGCTTCTAATCTGACGCCTAGCAGTACAGCAGCGGCTGTCGTACAGAAGATCAATCAGGTTCGATCTGTATGCCGTTTTTATTTAAGTGTAGTTATACATGTTCCTGTGCGCATAGCATTTAACTACATGATCTTGATGTAGACTGTTATATATGTTCTCTTTGAGATTGCTTGTTACTTTTCTAACAACGAATGAATTTGCAGGAATTAGTTGCGAAGGGGCTCATGTTGCCAAGTAAAGTGCATGACGAAGTGATATCACGAGAAATTGTCATTAATTATGCAGATCCTAGCGTGAGGTACAAGCTTACTAAACGACAAACACAGGAGGAAGTATGACTCTGCCCTTAATCCTTTTACTAACAGTATTTTCAAAGTGAACACATAAAAATCATATCGCGGAGGTTTAGATGCTTTCTCAGGTTTGATGTGACTGTTTCAGAACGAACTATGGTGGTAATATTTAAAAGTTGCGTTAATTTTTTGTTATTTGAGCGCTTTTGTTGTGTATGGAGGTGAGGAACAGTTTTACATATTATTATTATTATTATTTTCCCCATCTTGCTTATATACTCTAATTTACATTTTTACAACTCTTACTAGCTAATACGACTAAAATTGTTTTGATTTACTGCAGATTCAAGCCAAAACTGGAGCTGTTGTTATCACTAGGTAACTTTTTGTGACTTTAATGTTTGGTTTATTTGTAGAATGTGTTTTGATTAATGCTGTTGGATCGTACTGAAACTATTAGGAGATTAGGTTTTGGGTTTGCTTGTAGATATTTGTTTAAGTTTTAAAGTTGTTGCTTTTCAGAGGTCGATTTAGGCCACCAAATGGTCCACCCGAATCGGAGAAACCTCTTTACCTTCACATATCTGCTGGAGTACAGGTAGGTATCATGTTTTCTCGATTTTTCGTACTGTACGGCAACCACCTTTTTCAATGACGGGCATTATGCGGTTACGTTGTCAACACGGTTTCGTTACAGTTTTTGAAAGGGCTTAGGTGTTGTAGTGCTTGTATTCTGAAATTATAAGGACCTGATTATTGCGTGATAAACCATTGGCAGCTGAAAGACACTGCCGAGCGGATTAAAGCTGTTGATGCAGCCGCAGCGTTAGTAGAGGAGATGATGAAACAGGGCCCACCCTCTGTAGGAGTACTGCAGAATGGGTTGGTAAGAAGCAATAATGCGTTCATCGCTTCTAATGATTGTCTCTTTTTCACTTATTTTATTTTATTTTATTTTAATTGTTCTTTTCCTTTACGAGAGATATTTGACTCAAGTCTGTCGATTTGCCTCTGACCTATTATCTATTTTTTTAACGTCTCAATGGTTTTGCATGCGCGAGTTCTCAACGGGTCGTTATTATTTATTTAGTCTCTATCTACCTAATAGTGTTAGGACTGTTTATCAGTGTCTTTTGTGCTTACGCATCTTATGGATGCAAGTTACATTGAGTGTGTGACTTGAGGCGTAGTTATCTTAATTAGTTTTATATTAGAGCCGTTCTTTTGAGTAAGTTTCTGTGCATGCCCCATAGGTGAGTAACTTGTGTTTAAATCCTTTGGTACCTTTTAAGTATCTCTAGTGTCAGTTTTGGTTTGAGGCAGTAGTTTTGGTCAAATTTTATGAGGGTCAGCTGGGAATTTTGCATTACTGGCAATGTCTTACTGGGTATAGTGCACATCTTATATCTCGCGATCACTGAAGCGAATTGCTTCGTTCAAAACACTTCACAAGGAACTAGAACGTTCTGTTCATGCTGGTGTGTTGTGTACTTAAGATCTAGTGTTATTTGACGCTCGTTAGTTGTATTGTTACGCATTATTGTTAAATTGTTGTGTATCTTAACTTTGTAATCTTGTTTCCACAGGGAGGCCCAGCATTTACTGCGGTCATTAACGTTGGAATTGAGGCAGATCCATCATTCAATCTCATTGGTCGAATTCGAGGGCCAAATGTAAGTCCTGGGGCCCTTTGCCTGATAGTATCTAGGTCCATGAGCACACACGTACTTTACTTGGAACCTTTGTATTTTATAAGTAAAGATTTTTGGCGAGCTTTGCTATCCATATTTTGTATGGTTGCGGGTATGCTCCTTTCTTTTCATACTTGTGTAGTGCTTCCTCTTGTTGCGATCGCGTTACTTTTGATTTCCTACTGGAATTCTTGTGCTTTCTACGACATTGTAACCGATGCATACCATCAGCATTTGATTAGAAGTTCCAAAATGCATCATTCCGTTAGAATTTGATCTAAATGGACCGCAGAAAGGTAGAGTAGATAAACATGATCAGTACATCAGCAGGCATGCAGATCCCGTGGCCTGTCATCACAAAAGTTTGACAAGAGGGTTGTGAGTAGTTTATCTCATAAAGAAGCTCACGATCTCCGATGTGCATATTTTGTTTGTATTGGTTGTTTTTGTGCTCAAAGAAGATTGTAACCCTGATAGAAATGGTTTGTTAGGTTGAGAATCGGTTATAATCAATGGAACTTCGTGGTTACTGTATATAGTGTTTCAAAAGCCTCAACTTGTGGTTTGGGTTTTACTATGTCTTTGTTTACATATAAAATTTCTTCTAGCATGTTGAAGTCTGTCTATTTTATCGTATTATCAATTACTGTTGTATGGAACTGGAAATCGTGTATCAGCGTAGTGTCGATACCTCTTTCTTTCTCACCTTTTTATTCTATTTTGCATTATTTAAATATTTCGATGTCAGTTATTAAATCTATTGAGTAGTACCTAACATTTGCAAACTTTTGGGAGAAATTGTGTGGTGGTGTTGTTGGAAACTGTTGGGGTTTGGGATTTCAAAATTTGCAGGATCAGTATATTAAGCATATTATGAGTCAGGCAGGAGCTCTTGTTGCTATTCGTGGGAAAGGCTCTGGATACTTGGATCATACAGGCGCAGGTATTTAACGCTATTAAGTGCTTGATGTTTTGTCATCTGGATTGTCAATGCTGACATGTTATTCCAAGTATTGGACGAGGTTTGGTGGCACTGGGTTTTAAAATCCTGTTACAGTCTGCAAAGATGTCTGACATGCTTCATTGGCTTGTAGAGTCGCAACAACCCCTCCATCTTTTTATATCAAGTGATAATTCCAAGGCTTTGGATGACGCGCGTAAACTTTCAGAGAATTTATTGGACACTATTCGTGGCGATAGTAGTTCTTTCAGGTTTGTCTCTTGGTCCTTGCAAGAATTCCTGCTGTGTTTGAACGATGAACCTATTGAAACAAGCTCCGGGAGTTAATCTGTTCTTTTGTATATTTGCTTTTCTAGGACCAGAGTTTACAGTGCTATACTGGCTTTTTTACCTCTTGAAAATGTATCCGGTATTTGAGTGTAGTATGTTAATACCGTTTATGAGTATTACTATGGTCCATCAGCTAACCAGCATTTTCCTGCTAGGAAGTTTTTGCTCTAATAAGTACGTAGTAGTTGGTTTTTTGAAGGTTTGTTTGTTTGATCTTGTTTTTATTTACCATTCTTTTTGACGTTCAAATGTTGTGACGCAGAGCTGCCACACCTCAACCAACGGTCAATGGATCTTCATCACTTTACAATCACGGTAGAGATCCGCATGTGTCCGGCAGTGTGGGGCATTTTTCTTATCCGCAAACAAATAATGTATACCCAATGCAGGTGCAAGCCCAACATTCAAGTGTACAACCTCAAGCTTCAGAAATTCTACCAGGTCCTCAGCTAGGAACCTCAAGTGCGCTTTCACAGCCTGCTGCGTCTGACTTTGCTTTGATGGACCCGTATGCAAACATGTAAGCTACACTGATGTTCATTCATACATAATAGTTGATTATGTGTTATGGTTCTCTATTTTTAACTCCATACAAGTTTGCATCGTCATGGGTTTACTGGTTCATTATCATTATCTTTTCCCTTATAGTAATTTTTATATCTGACTGCTACTTTACTCCATTTCTCTCATTGATTGGTAAGGCTTGCTCACAAAAAATAATGGTGATGACTTGTTTTCATATGATGGATTGCTTCTTCTGAATTCCGTGGTTCAATTGCCAAACGCATCCATGTGTCACAAGCCAATAAAACTTTGCATTTGTTTCTAATGCTTTCAGGCGTCCTCCATCCAAGTATTACGCGGCAGTCCCTCCCCCCAAGCAACTTCTGGAGGGTGGAACGTTAGACGTTACTACAGATGGTAACGGCACGCCAAGAAGTGATTCAGATGCTAAGTCAGGAGAACAAGGAGCCAAAGAATCAATCTCAATGCCTTGTAATATTGAAAGTACTGTGTCAGCTGTGTCAGTACCATCTTCCTCAGCGCACGTTCCAGGAGTTACTACTTCAGGTTTAGCATGCCACCAGACTTTCTGCACCTTGTGTTCTTTGGTTCTTCGTTCTTGAAGTATAGTGGCTTATTTCTCTACGATTAGTCCTCTTCATGTCTGCAGCAAGTCTATCGAGACTTCTGTTATTGGATGCATAAATTCATTGGTGTTGCTTGTAGTTGGAAAGACCCATGTTTTTAAGTAAAGAAAAACCTAGTGCACTAATATTCTGCTGCCATATCATAATCATGACAGGAGCATCGGAGTGTCTTTTAAATTCAAGTTACAGGCCTCCAAATACTCCTCAGTATTACCAAGCCCCTGGGGTAGTGCCCTTGCATTCAAACCCTTCATACCCTGGCCATGTTCCTGCCCCAAATTATGAGTTATATGGCGGATTTTATTCTCAGGTGTCTCCTCTCCCACAAGTTACATCAGTGCTGCAGAGGCCGCCACCTCCTGTATCTGTGAAGGCAGGTTCTGGGGTTGGTGGGATTGTTCCACCAGGTACAGACGATGCATTGGTTGGTAGTTACTCCGGGCAAAGCAACCGACAGGTGGGGAAGAATTCCTCTGGCCCTGGACAAAGGGAACGGCGCAAGTTTCAGGAATTTGTGGTTGCTTCAAAGAGTGCTGCTGCAGAAGCTACTCAGGTCTGAACTGGACCAAGAGCTAGTTTTGTTCAGCTTATATGGGTGTTGAGTGTCTTTGTTAATGAATTTTCCCTTTGAGTCGTGGATTATATTCTATATATTGCATATGTGATTCTCCTCTATACAATTGATCGCATGTTGTGATTTTCTTTGTTTGAGAGAAGTGGGTAAGCCTCAAAGCAGCAGCAGTTTGACCAGAATGCAACTACTTGATTGCTATATCGAAGTGTCACTAATTGTTGTGATGAAGTTGATGCTAGTTTAATTCTTTTTTTTAATTGCACTTAACTCATGTTCAAAGTTTGGTCGAAGGCCTGTTTCAGTTCTAGTAAGGTTCTGGCAAGGCCTTAACTCAAGTGATGATGGATTGTCTAATATGTTTGAACCATACTAATCTGGCATGGTGCATGTGCCAGGTATGATTATTTTTCCTGCCATCAAGCTGCGGCATCATTTTGGACTCACCTTTCTATGTTTCACAGGGAAAATTGAAGAGAGTTGTGGCTTAGGCGTCTAATAAGCGGAGGGAGGGCAGGTGTTTCAAACTTTTGTTCTGTAATCTAAGAAGCGTTTTTGTGTCCTAGCTGTATACTGATTTGTTGTAAAGCTTCACTTGTTAACGAAAGTTCATAATCAGCAAGTGTCCGTACATTTAACTCTAGTATTCGTTTAATTTCAGTTTCATGCAGGTATTCGACGGCATTGTTACTTACCACACGAACGATTTTACCTATTTATGGGTCTGAAAGAATTTTTGCTTTGCTATTCATATCATAGAGTCAAATGGGAACCTAGGATGTCCTAAAGTGCGTTGATTTGCAAGGAGAATCTGCCTCATGACACGCTTCATTCATGGTTCAATGAGTGTTTTCTTTCATTGATTTTGTTGCATCTGTAGTTGCAGCTGTATCAAAACATTGGAATCGCTGCACACGATGCGGTGAATTCTTTCAAAGTAAATGCAAGTGTTACGATGCCTCCACCTCCGCCCAAATTTGCTTCCGCAACTGTTAACAGTACACCGCCTCCAAAATTAGCTTCACTAACTTCTCAGAAAGACGATCACGAGCCTGAGCGTGATGGTAAGCATTTATTTCTCTCTTGTTTGCAGATGTAGGTCATATACTTGGGTTGTATTTTCTTCTCTTGATGTTCATTGGTAGACTGTCCAGTTGACTGTTATTTGTGGTTCTCTTCCTTGTTATCCCCTTCCTGATTTTCGATTTTGAAATTCAACTTGCTGGATGAGATTTTTGTGATGATTGAATCATCGATCTTCCTACTGTTGCAGTTGCCCACCTTATCACATTCGTGTGTGTTCAAGTTCTCTCTTGTATCATGAGCGCTGGTGACTGTTTGTGTATGGCTCCGAGCTATTATGTTCTTGTTTGCTTTTCAAGTTTAGTCAAGGTAAATGGTAACATCCTTCACATTTGAGCAGGGCTAAAGCTTGTGGAATACGGAGAAGATGAGGATGAGCCCTCAACACAGACCAAGGATAGCACAAAGACTGAAAAGTTTTCGTTGTATTCAACTGGAAAACCATTTTGGGCCGCTCCTTAGTCTACATCACCATGCGAATATCATGGATTATGTTTCTCATGGATTGTGGTGGCTTAACCTCCCTCTCCTTCGAAGCCTTATTTATGTATGTGAGACATACATCTCTTGCAACTTGTGAGTTCTACTCAGTTTTTTTGAAGAATGGCACTCCATAGTCTGGTTGTGATCATTTCTTCGTCAACCTTTAGAGTGAATGATTCAGGCTTAGTACCTGATGATGCTGTGTGAGACGCTTATGAAGAGGGCTCATCGGTTGTTTGTGAGGTCCTTCGCATTGATTATTTCGAGTTTGAAAGAGGTCGTAACTTGTTTTTGGCCTTCCCTAGGTCTACTGAACTCTTTCCTGCAGCGGTTTTTTAGTTATCAAAAGTAGTCACCCTGCCTTTTGGCAACTGAGGGTTAGAGTTAGGATGATGTTCAGATTTGTAATTCACTTTTCTTTTCACTGTACGAAACAACTCAATTTACACATGTAATGTGTTAGTGACTACATTCTGGCTCTAACTCTAGTTTGTTACAACTTGGTTCGGTTCTCTTGTTGCCTATGAGGAAATCTACTAGGAAAGCTTTAAATTGTGAATGACTTTTCAAGTTTGCGGACACATATTAGAGGGAACGCAAGGAACATCACACAAGGAGAATTGGAGGATGGAATATTTTTAGAGAAATGCAAAATCAATTATATAGTGTCATTGTGGAATCTATGAGAAGATGCAACTTTCTTAATGGATGATGAAGATGATGTGTAATTTGTGGATTAATGGAAATGTTGTACAAGATTGCTCCAAATTTATGTTTTTATGTTAGAATTAGTAATTGATTATTTGGTAAAACCATAACAATTTCAATTAAAACAACAATTGTTTAGCCATTTATTATTTATTTATTTTTATTTTTCCAAATTAGTTCCTTAGAAAAATTCACTAAACTATAATTGTTTTGTTCTGTAGTTGCATCATCAAATATTATAATGGGTTAGTGAAAGTTTAATAGAAAATTGAAAAGCCAATCACAAAGCACAAAAGACATGAGCTCAAATTTTAGCTGCCTTCTAAAGTTGTTTTCTCCTGATTACACATATGAAAATAAAAAAAAAGTTACTCATTAACATTAATAAGGCAAGTGGTGATTAAAACAAGTAAATGTTGTGGTTTAATGGAATCATTTCTACTTCAATGAAAAGATCAACGAGTGTCATCCACAAACTCTCCCATTTACCATTTAACCATTCTTTGGTCCCCTTGATTTTTTCTCCAAACATTTTCTCCAGCTCATTCTCTTCCAAAACCCACAATTACTCGAAACGTCCATTTCAAATTTAGGATAAAATTAGTAACATACACACACATATCTATCTATCTATCTATATATATATTAATGTGTTGATATTTCGGCAACTTCCTGTGTTGGGTCACATTTCGACACGCATGCTCTCTACCCCAGAACCAGGATTTGGTAAACCACTTGGCACCCCAGAGTGGTGACACCTGGAGGAGCACTGTGATAGTTAGCCTTTTGCTGCAACACTCCGAGAACATTTAATTCCTCTCAATTGGTTTCGATCTGGGCACCCATTTGCCAACTCTTCACCTACAATAACAAGTCTGAAGCTAGTGGATAGATTCTTGAGTTTCCGATCCAACCTCTTTTGATTCTTTTCCAAGGGTTCTGATAGTTTCGGAGAAGTCTTTCATTTGGGTTTTTCATAGTTGAGAAGTGATAGGGTTTGTTTTGAAGGTACGAGAGAAGAATGGTGGAAATCGCGCATTCCGATGCGGTTAATCCTACCGCTGCACCCATGGCGAGTAGTTTCGATTCAAACAGGAGTAAGAATCTGGGCCAAGGGTTAGTTAGTCTAATTGAATGATAGATGTGACCCTCCTAGAGGTCAAGGATGATTCATTCGTTGTTCGTGAATTGATGTAATCGTTGTGTACCGTTTTTGGTAGGATAATTCAAGCACACTTCTCCTCTTTATTTGATGTAAAAATACAAGTTCAGTGTTCTTGAATGTGAGTTTTTACGGAATTAGGAACGGTGCCTGGGTATGGGCATGTCATCGGCGAATGGCAAATGCTCACAGACAGAGGGTGGAAGTTGAAGTTAATGCTTATTTGCAGTCAGAAATTCGCAAGGCTGAGGCTCGGGCTGCTACCGCCGAGGTCTTGGTCCCCCACCCTTTGTTCTGCACATTTTCTTGGTAGGATGTGATAAGCCTTGTTCGCGTTGATACATCCACTCGGCCCAGTTCGAATGTTCATTGAGCTAGTAGTAGGCCAGCTGTTCATTCTTAGCCCTTTAAAACTATTATCGAGAATCCGAATCTCCTTGAAGAAAATTATTCATTTTTTGGAAACGATTTGCAGTCAAGTATTGAGCAGAAGAGGATAAAGGACGAAGCAAGAGCCATTGAGCTAAGGAAACGTGAGGAGGCCAAGGTAGAGCAAGATATTCGTGCTGCTGAGGTACGTTTCATGTCGATATAATCGTTCTTCGTTATACTATTTGGTACAAGTTTATGGTTGTAAACGAAAGCTTGCAATGTCTGTAGTGTTTGGATTTTTTATGCCGATATATTGCAGGTAAAAGCTGATAAGATCGTCGCAAACGCTAAGGAGGAAGCTATTAAAATGATGGCATACGCTGCAGAGGAATGCGAGAAAGGCATTGCTGACTCGCATACTCAAGCCGAGCGGGTAACAATCCCAAGCTCTCTTACTTGCCTCTGTATTACCGAGGCAATATGTTTGGACAGATTTGAAATTCATATTGCTAGAGTGTTGTGGCGGTTGGATGACGATTTGCTAGAGAGTACACAGTTAAAACTCTTTAACTGCATCATGATCGGTTCAAGAGTCGTTCTATGACCGAACCCTTCTGTTTTTGGGTCGTGGGGCACAATGTTGTCTGTTTCTGATTATGTTTACGTGATATTTTTTGATGGGGTTTACACCAGGCAAAGGCAGAGCGTGAGGAAATGAAGAGACGTGAAATCGCCGAGTTAAAAGACAGAGCTGAGCAAATGAAGATTACTGGCGAACTTCCCTTTTATGAAAAAGAGAAGAAGGGCATGGGCACAAAGGTGAAGCATGCCTTGGCTTGCCACCATGGTGCGTGAATAATGTGTCAGATTGTTTACGTCTTTGCTTCTCCACTTAGGTATCATTTGTTTTGTACATAGATGCATCCGGGTCCTAGCAAAACTGAGAGGGATTACGCACTTGATCTACAATTAGCAAGACACCTGAGTAGACAAAAAAGAAAGATGTTGATATTCATCTAAAATGTAGAACAATTGTGGCCGCAACAGCATTTCTACATTTGGCGTGTGCACCATTATTAGTGTATATGTAAAAATATGAGTGTTTATTCTATGCTAAATGATCATAATTTTACAATCTTTAACCTGTGAGACCTTTCGGAAACTAGTACTCAGTAAAAGCATTATCTCCAGTGATGCCACTTTGTGGCAAGAGGATGTGCACAGTTGGAGAACTTGCTGTAATGTGACAAAGTTCTTCAGGTCAGCAGCCACGCTAAACGAGAACAATGGGTCTTTGGGATTGTCGAATATTGGCAAAGATTTCGTCGCATCTGATCAATGCAATTTGGGGAAACTACAGTCTCCGTTTGTTACCAAGCTTGCAATGGTCACTACCCTTGTGTAGGGTTTCATAATAACCTTTCCCAATCAAATGCCACCGAGTGTATGTAGTCAACAGATACCGAACTACGTGCGAAAAGTGGTGCCATCAAGCTGCTGCTATCTGCGCAACATTCCAATGACCTACTCTAGCATCGTGGTTGACATCATGAAAGTAGGGGTAAGAAGTACATGTGTAGCTTCTTTGTAGCCAAACTATCATACAGCTAGCACATTCGAAGGAGGGACCTGGGACTTCGTGCAAGCCAACTTGCAGGCGCTTCAAACACATTAATTCCATCATACCAACCTCGGACCTCAAAACTACGTCTTCTCTTGCCTAAAACCTCATTTCAGCGCGACCAATTTTTTTGTTTAGCCAAGTAATACCCAATGCAGGCTTCAACATGGAAGACATGCAACACTTGAAAGAAAATAAAAACTTACACTGTAGCTATTGGTTACATCTACAGAGGTTACCTCTGAGAGACCTATCAATTCGGTGAAACCTTACGATCTACCCCACTCACTGATGCAAGATACGCTTTCCCTTCGGTGAGAAATTGTGCTCTCCCCCAGACTGATTCAGGATGCTTTTTTCCTTAGGTGATCTTTCATTAGAAAATTTCAACCATATTGCAGCTAGCACAGCTGTCACTTAAAAAACACTCAGAGAAGGCTGTAATATCTCTAACGATCCATTCTTCTTTTGAAGTATTTTAAAAACCTTCAGAATCAGTTGGACTGGTATCGATACAAGCTGCTTATAACTGATCCGCTGCAACGCAATTAAAGTTGGCCTCGACAGGTGCCCTTAAACGTACTAGCGAATCAACAATGCATTTCCAAGCAAAGTCCTCATTAAATGTGATTAATCTCCTCAGTCTCTCCTGTCCATTAGTGAATTGTAACCTAGGAGTTTTACATCTTAAACCGAGATACCAGCTTTCTTTCGCTGCAAGCTTCACCTCTTCTCATGATCTCGTTGCATTAACCACCAAATCGGGCCCTGAAACCGTTCTTGCGCATTTGTCAGAAACTTGGTGCATTCTCCGGACCAAGACGATATCTAGATAGTGCACAAAAATCTGAATAAGACGTTGAGTGCCTGATCTCACTGTTGAAACATACTTCATCAATGTCATTACTATTCTCATATGATCATTGCTGCTGACTGCTTAAATGCTGACTATACAAACCCAGCTGCGATAACCCTCCATAAACTCAAAAATATCTTGCAGCGTAGATTGAGGGATTAAGGTTTTCCTCTCCACTCTATGCTGACATTAATAATCAACATTTTGGTGCGCAAAATTATTAGCGAACACATTCATATTCAGGTATCCTTCCTCAAAGCTTGCTCGATGAGCGATTGTGTAAGCTCCTTTGACAATCCCATCACACTGTCTAAACCTCCCACCATGGACTTGACAAAAGGTGACATCAAGGGATGCTCAACCAACAAACCACCCGCAGAGTAAAAAACTTCTCCTTCCTCAATGAGCGCGTCAACCACCTCATCTGAAATCTCATTGAAATGAACCTCTGCCTTGTCTACCCCGCCCGCACGCACCCCGGTGTCCAAATTCGTCACCAACACCGCTCCAACAGTGACTGCCGGCGCCCTAGAGTAGCCCGGGATCACTCTCCGCGCCTCCTCCGCGCTCTTAGGCTTTTCTAAGATGACACCCTCGTGCACAACTACCTGGTCCGCAGTAATCAACAACACCGGCACGTCCGCTTTGCGCAGCAATTCGGTTCCTTCAAGCTTCGATAGAATAGCCTCCGCTTTCGCATGCGCCAACTTCACCACGAGGTCTTCTGCCGCGGGTGCGCGGATAGCGCTCTCGTCGATGTTGGCGGTGACAACCTCGAAGTCAGTATATCCCATGTCGCGTAGAATGGCGTGCCGGTCCTGGGATTGCGAGCCTAAGATGATGCGCGCTGCTGCAGGCGAGGAAGCCATGGCTTGCTCACCTCCTTTCCGCCACAACAATGGTACGCGTTCCAAACTCCTCTGAAACCCTAATCTTAGTGTGGCTTTAGGTCCCCCCGCGGGATACGGTCATGCTTAACATACCTCACCCAAAGCCGTGTACTAAGGGTGGGAAGGGCTTGTTGGTCACACCTTAACAATCATCCAATGGATGTTCAACATGTGAAACGTTTTGAGGGGTATTATTTTCTTTGTTCTTGGTGTTCAAACTTAATCGTTAAATTATATCTATATAAACTAATAACAAGCAATGTGTTGATGAATTCTAATTCATGCCTCTTTAAATAATCAAATCCGAATTTCAATGTGTTCTTCTTTTGAAATTTTGAGGTATGTTTAACTTTCTATAGGTGCATCAACTATTTTGTGTCTTTAAGAAAATAATTTTATTAGTTAAGAAGTAGTGTGTGGTTGGACTGTGAAATAAGTTATTCTTCTTATTCACTTGTTGGATTTGTTGAATTTTTTTTGCTAGTATACTAAAGCACTAATTATGAAGAACAATATTTTTTATTTTTTATTTTTTACATATATCATACATGTTTTTCTTTAACTCTTGAATATTTGAAATGGTAGAAATTATACTATATTTGACATAATTTTACTCTAATTACATTAAATATGTGAAGCTTAAAAATTATTAATGATTAAAACCATGTATAATAATATTATTTTTTAAAATAAAAATTTAAAATCTAATAATTTAATAATTATATTACTATCATATATATATATATAAAAACATAATTTAATCATTCAATTTAGTTTGATTATTGATTGTATATAAAGCAAAAAAAATTATAATACTTGTTTTCAGGTTTTGAAATTCGAAATTTTAGAAAATAAATTAAGTATTGATCTTTGATATGGTTAAAATATATATATATATATATATATATATATATATATATATCTTTAATTTAAAATAAAAATTAAAAAATCATAACTTCAATTATACTTATACAAATAATTAAGAATATATATATATGTATATATTTATATATATTATAGATAGATGGATGTCAATAAAATAATATAAATTAAATGATATTATTATTATTTTTTTATTATATTAATTATCTTTCTTATCCATAAATCAAATTCTAACTATTAATATATTGAAGTTATAAAACAAAATTTTATTTCTTTTTTCTATAAAAACAATAAGAACTAAGTTTTTGCATACTAATAAATAAAGTTAAATAAAAATATTTATAATGGTTAGATTAAATAATTATTTAGCTTAGGTATAAATTTATTAAAATTAATCTATAATTTTTTAAAAAAAAATTTAAATTTTCTATATTATAAAAAAACTTATTATTGATTTTATATTAGAAAAATATATTTTTTAAAAGAATGTTTTTAGTTAAAAATATTTAACATATTTTTTTTTTTATATTTTTTAAAATATATGTCAAATTTTGATGGTAGCATAATGTCAAGGGCGTGCATCATAATAAAATTCTAAAGAACCAATAAATTCTTTTGATACTCAAAATAAAAAAGGAAAAATATCAAAGATATATAATATAGAAATTAGAGTGGCTATTGCCAAATACAAAGAGACTAGGAATCCTTGAGCTAAGATAAGAACACAAGAAATACCTTAACAAAAGTGAGGAATGCTTCTTTCTTACCTCTATATATACAATCTAACTAAGGAGCTATATATCAACATTCTATGGATCATTTGACATGTGTCCAACTTGCAAGGCACATGTCTAAATTACAAGGCAAATTTTCCATATGTGCACCACATGACCAACATATACCACAAGTGGTCAATATGTACAACATATGGCAAAGTTGTTGGCTAAGTTTCCAACTTACTAATTACCTACAAATACTTATAAAGTCAAATCTAAGTCTACAAAGCTTCTAAGAAACTTGTCCAAAAAATATTGAAAAATTTATTTACTTTTACTTTTGTCTAACTCATCTTATCTTCATAATTATTAATACCACTATTAATGTCCATGGCACATAGTATTAAGTTGTTATCAATTAGTGTCCTTATTATGATAGATATAATATAATAAAATTTAATTTTAAAACTATATATATATATATATATATATATATATATATATATATATATATATATATCATTATATCCAAATCAACATAATAAAAATTTAAAAAATCCTATAATTAATGAATTAAAAATTTTAATAAAAATAATTAAATAACTTAATTATTAAAAAAATTATTTGATATATATATATATATATATTTATAAATTATTCTAATTTTTTAAATATTAATTATTATAATATAAAAAATTATTTATTCTAATAATTGTATGTGTTGAATCAAATTTTAATAGAACAAAGATATAGAAGCAAAATTTTAAAATTAAAAGAGTGTATTTATTAAGTTTTTTTTAATATCATATATAATTTCTAAATTTAATTTTTAAATAAAAATAAAATATTATATTAAAAAAATTATATAAAAATAAAACTTGAAAAAAGATTTAATTCTATTAAATTTTTATTTAAAAAATACTAAAAAAATTATAATTTAATATAAATTTACTTAAAAAATCTTTAAAAGAATAGAATTATTACAAAAAAATATTTATTTAGTAGAATATTTATTAATCTAATTAAATAAATATTATTAAAAAATATCTTAGTTATTTATTTAACATGCATATATAATTATCATTAAGTTTAATTAGATATATTTTTTAGAAAATAATTATACTTACTATTACATATTCTTTTAGAAAATACTTCTACTAATAAGATGGTTTTATTTTAATATTCTTATATTACAAATATAAAAATCAAAGATATAAATTTAATAAAATTTATAAAGAATAGAAATAATATTTTTTATTTATTTTTTACACTAAAGAAATCTCATTGAAAAGTTATTAAATCAGAAATCTTAATTTGCATAATATTATTGATTAAAATTAACTTAATACTGTTAATAAATATTGATTTTAAAAATTAAATTAAAAGAATATTAGCTTCCTAATAGTTTTAGATATTTGAATTTTAAGAAAAGAAATAATTATTTAAATTTATAAGACATTTGAATATCAAAAAATCTAAACATACTTATGTAATTTTTAATTTAAATATGATATCCCATGAATATCACAATTTAGATTAAAACTACTTTAGAGTTTATATTATTTTTTTTAATGAATAAAATGTAAAATGTACTCAAAGAATTTATATAATTCTAAAATATATTCTATATATGATATGATGTTTTCAACATCTATCTTATAGAATATTTCAATTGTGATTTATATTTAATAAAGATTATTTATATTTTGATTTATTTTTAAGGATTATTTTTCAATTTTTAGAAATATATTTTTAAAAGTAATAGTTTATTTTTTTTTATTAGTTAATATTCTAAATTATCTAAAAGAAAATCTAGTACTATTTGGTATTAGTTTATTTTTATTTGCTAATCAATTTCTCTAATAAAGTTTGTGTTTATTTCATCATAGTTTTTAATGTTGAAATTCTAAACTAAATTGATATAGTCATTTATTTATTATATATATATATATATATATATATATATATATATATATATAGTTCTTTTTGTATTACAAGAAATATAATTTTTTTGTAAAGTTTTGCAATTGTTTAATTTATTTGGTAATGATGTCAAATTTGAGTACCTTGAGATACTTAAAGTATTGAGAGATGTGAGGTTGCTTAATTTATTTGGGAATGATGTCATATTTGAGCACCATGATATGTTTAAAGTAATAAAATATATGAGGTCACTTAATTCATTTAGAAATGATGTCAAAATTAAGAAATTACAAATATTTAAGATATTTAAAGATATAAGGTTTTTCATTTCATTTGGCAATAATTTCAAGCTTAAGCACCATGACATATTTAAAGTAATCAAAGATGTGAATTTGCCCAATACATTTGGCAACAATGTCAAGTTTAAATACCTTAAAATATTTAAAGTAGTCAAAGATAGTAAATTATCGAATTTATTTGAGAATAAAATCAAACTTAATAAATCATTGCTATCAAAGGTATTTAAAGATGTGAAGTTTTCTAATTCATTTGGAAATAATGTCAAGCTTAACCATTGTGACATATTTAAAATTATCAAATATATAAGTTTTTTAAAATTTATTTGATAATAATATCAAATTGATATAATTACTAATATCAATAGTATCTAAAAATATAAGGTTGTTTAATTTATTTGGTAATAATATCAAGATTGAATAATCTGTATTATAAAAAGTAGTCAAAGATGTAAGGTTTTTGAATTCATTTAGAAAACATATTAAGCTTGAGTACCTATTAATAATTAATAAAGTCAAAGATATAAGATTGTCTAATGTACTTGGCAAAGATGTCAAGTTTAAATGTACAAAAATTTCAAGTATATTCAAATGTATACCATTCTTATCTTTGTAATTACTTTCATATAATAACTGACCTTTAAATTTAAGTATAATCAAATTTAAGTATAATCAAATAGCCATTGATACTATCTCATACCAAGGCGAGAAGACAACCTTGTTATTTAGTCATTGTTGAGGCCTTTGTAACTTCTTTCAAATAAAATATTTAGAACACCATCAAGAGTTGTTCTTACTTCTAATAAAATCACCAAATATAGGAAATCTCTTCGAAGGTTGTGATACCAAACACGTTGTATTTCGCCGTCTATTCGAGGAAGGACATGTCATTCTTGAAGATCTTTATCTTGATTTCATTGGCTTGAAGGTTGTGACAATTATAATGTTTGATCTAATAAGTCTACAAATAAAAGTTCTTGAGTTGAATTTACTAGTTATTAGTTTTTCATCTTTTTAACGTCACAAATACCTAGAAATTACAAAGAAAGATAGAAAATAGAATGCAATCTTCTTTGAATATTATTTTTTTATAGCAAAGACTTACTATTCTTCATCTTGATTTAGATGGATGTTATCGATAAAAAGCCTCCACCACCTTTGTTGCATTTGCAAGATTCTATATTAGCTTCCATATGCATTCACTAAT